GTCCCGAGACCTCCCCGAAGACGAAAGAAGAAACGATACTCGGGCAGAATATATATTCAGCACAGAGAAGTGTTTGGGCTACGGGCATGGCCTGAAAGCCGGCCCACCCAGCGAGGTATAAGAAGGCAAATTCAAAAGTTCAAAAGCGGCGCCTCACCAAGACCGAGGGATAAACCACTATCATATTACATAGCCTCCCTCGCCTTTTGAGCGTCGTGTCCTGCGCTCCCGCAGGCCAACCTCCCGTGTCAGCCATTACAACGTAGTCAGTGCTGTAAAGAAATACCCGCGATCCGACCGTGTCAGTAACCAAATTAGCGTGCAACTGAGGCGATACTTGACCTCAACGTCACTGATCCATCTTGGCAGCTTGACTACATCTGGAGTTTATTTACCCCATAAACGTGCTATCTGGTAAATTATAACCTAAAATTTGTCTTCCATTTTAAGACTCTTTAAAAAAGTAGTCGACTTAAACAACACACTGCGGTTATTATGTCGAAATCTGAGGAAACTATTCTAAATTAAAGTCCACACAGTCGAAAAGGACTGCTGGCCTCTTGCTTTAGAGTCAAATGGGGGGTGTACCTCACCCACTCAATTAGGTAGACCACAGTACCTAATGTCCCTGCTCATTATCTCCCCGGAAGGCCTGATGGGGCGTGAACGCACCGTGTTAATCAACGCGGTGCTTAACAGTGAGAAGAGCGCTCCACCATTTTTACACATTAGTGCTGCATGTCCGGGTGATTTGCTCAAAGGTAAAGCAAAAGTGCTATCTTTACCGACAGAAATGCAAGACCCCACACACTCACCTACAATAAGTAAGGAAAAATACTCATCTAAACACGAGGCATTTTGCTAATATTTCAAATGCTTTCTTGAGGCGAAACTAGGAAGTGAAAATCAAACTTTCCATAGTCTAAAATCAAGCAGAGGCACAACGGTTAATCACTCTAGGAACTCAGATCACCAGGGTCGTTTATGGCTACCAGTGCTGAGTTAGGTCTACTTCCTAGTCCCTGTGGATCAAAACGTCCTCTGTTATTTGTGCATGAAAATACGTCGTATACTTAAACCATCGATTATTCTTTTCTTCAAAACATTCATCGTTAACAATCTTCTAGTGAAGGGGGTATTCCTCCTTATTCCGGATCAAACAACCTGGTCCGATTCATAAATATGTTATTTGATTGACAGTCCCGCAGAGTTTTTCCCCAGATAGTAGCCACTCCATCCCAATTTTATTGCAAACATTTTGTTTTGTCGCAGTAGAAAAGTCATCAAAAATGCTACGAGTCTACCTTCCTCTGCTGCAGGTAGTTTTGGCAGTACTTTAAGTAAAATTGCAATGTGCGAGGTGGTGAAGGTGGCGAGGTTAGCAGCAGAGGTGCAACGAACCACTGCCGCTGCCTCCACCCTATAGTCCCATAAAACTTCACCAAATGCTCTTCCCCTCCACATGACCCCTCTCTCGTGTCACTTATTCCTCCAGTTCTGCTACTACCCTTGATGCTGATGACGGTAAGGGGCTTTGCCCTTGCTCGCCTTCGCACATCTCTAGGTGCGCTTACAGAATTTCAGGTGCCCTTTTATTGGGTCACCAAATAAGGAATGCTTTTACGACTTATTATAGTGCATTATTTTAATCCAGTAATTAAATTGCGATGCCTGCAGGCACCTGAAGGTGATTTTATTACAAACTTATGAGGGAGCCGAATGGCTATATAAATAAATACTATCCTGATTTCTTGCTCTCCTCACCTCTTTAGAGCGTCGTTCTAGGCGCTTCCAGTGATTATCTTGCTCTTTGGACGCCACTACATTATTTAAACGAGTTGAAGTCAATCTAAAAGGACACAGGAAAGAAGGTCATAGGATGATTTTCTATCGCAGTGAAAAGACTTCCCTACTCGACAACTGCACTAAATCTCGTGGATTTTGATGAAGTTTTCTTTTCTCGTCCTCTGTACAGGAACTCCGTCGAAGGTTGTGGCGTAAAGGCATGAAAACCTTGACAAAGTATTCGTGTTCGTAACCTTTTTGCCCAGCGCTATTCGTCTTCTCTCACTTTAACCACTTCAAAATCACCCAACTGCTTTCCTGGATTATTTGCAACCTCAGCTCTGCATCGTTAATGTGGGGGATGAATGACAGGCAAAGGGGGAGGTATGCCACAAGTATATGCCTCTGCTTTATTAAACGGAATGAGAAAACCCAAGGCAGTGGGTGGATGTTGAATTGGCAGTTCTTCCACAGCTTGTAAAATGTAGTCCATTGCCAGCCCAGATGACTCAAGAACTGGTCAGCTGGCAGAACACTTTTAAGTCCAAATTTGTTTGCAGTTCGACCACAGTTGATTGTACTGGTGCTGTGTATTTGTCTGCTGACCAGCCTTGGAGTGTTTTATTGTAAACTAAATCGGTTGTGATTTTGTGGAACAATTTTGCATAGGGGCCTTATCTACTTCGGCATATTATTGAAATTCTACCGCGGTACAGCAGCGTGCATTGGTGGTTATAAAGAGCTCCTAATTCCTCCGGCGAAAGTACTTAACATGACATTCATTGCGTTTTGCCCCTATGCGGTACGAAACCATTTTCTCCCCCAAAGCTCTTTGATCTACCCTCATGGAAATAATTCCCACTTTCTTCCGGGACTCAAGTAGGCGATTCCACGACACACACCTACCTCTCACCTCACCTGACTCAATTTAGAGTTTTCAAGAAAAAAGTGCAAATTTTACAGTATTCTCATTAATTTGCAATGTGTTCTCCCGCTTGCCTCATTTAGTTTTTAAACAGCGCACTGCTGCGTCATGATTTTGCTGCTGGTCATCTGTTAAAATATAAGAGGGACATTCCTACCAAGGTGACAAGCCTAAAGGTATTCACAAAGTTGCCCCGGCAGGTGTTTATAGTCATTCAATAAAATCAAACTAAGATTGTGAGAAAAACACTTCAATGATGAAAGCGGCTTTAAATGCCACATGTGGTTATGGATATTATCATTTATCTTCGAGTTACTTTTCCCCACCGAGAAGGCTCCGTGTTCGAGAGCTAACTCTCATTAATCACGCAAACCACTGTCACCTTCTTGGGTTCAGCTAACGTCTTCTTTGAGTGTGTGCCGGATATAAATAATTTACTCACAGGGGCTGGTGCTATCTCGAAGTATGTTTACTATGTGCACGAGCGGAGTGTTTACACCGACGGGGCAGAGTAAACGATATCTAACTATTCATTTGTCTCCACAGCGCCCCATTACTCACCAATTTTCACGGACAACTTGTCCAATGAAAAAATGATTCTGTAGGAAAAAGTGTGCTTAAAGCCGAATGAGTAATTATCCCAATTTTTCGAACTCTGGTAAAACCAAACGAGTTTTGGAGCTAGTGGAAGTTATCTGGTTTTGATGCCCAAGAATTGGTAATTGGTAACAAAGTTTTGGCCTAACTATCTTTGTAAACAAATGTTCACTTTACATTTTCAGCCACTGAAACAGTTGTGTGAAGGCAAGCCGACTTGTGGCGTCTCGCCTGACCAATTCGCTACGAATCAGACTCTCTGTCTAGAGGTCCCCAATGAGATGCTCGTTGCCTATCGCTGTGAGCCCGGTAAGGCTCGTCATATCCCTGATTTACTTGATTCTCAAGAGATTGTCTCAGTGCGTTGAAGATGGCTAAGGTAGCGAATTCCCTTACCTGGCAAATAGAACCGAATATCTCCTCAAATGAGGCCAACATTTTATGGCTCCTTTGAGACAATAGATTTCTCGGGTTTCCGTAACATCCGGTTTTTCGATGAGAAAGTTATTCTAAATCCGGTTTTATTACCAATATCTGTTAGATATTTAATAAGTCTGTTGGAAAAAGCTGCAAGAGCTTTTTTCAAAGATATAATTTTGTGTGAGAGACGTCAGTTAACTCGGTTTTACGTGATAAAATAAATTTAAGTAATTACCTCTTAAATGGGTTGTCTACGATACCAGTACTGGTTTGAAGAAAGATTTGTGACTTCTCCATCCTCATCCAATGCAATTTGTATGTCACGCACGATCTACAACTAGACCACAAAGTTCACACAAGACGAGATCTGAGTATACCATACACTGTTGGTTTATGCGATGTTTTATGTCACACCTAGTTTAACCCTTGGCTAAAAAATCACTTCATGGAGAAGGTATTTTAGGAAAAAAGTGTTCTTTTACATAACTTTGGAGTTATTTGGTTGTTTCACTTAGCTGTCTCCAAATGGTAGCACCAACAACAATAAATTTATAAATAATGGAGTGAAAATGTGGCGCTTACACAACTTACAAGTGTAGAAGAGGGTAGTGGTAAATGTAGAAATTCTGGATTTGTATGGTTTTGATTAGTGGTTAATACTGAACTGCACAACTGCAACACAGGTATCTTGAAAGTTTTTTTTAAATCGTGGGACAATTTTCCAAATTTATGTGATTGTTGACAGACGACGTATTAAAATATATTAATTCTTACGAATGATTACTTCTGTCTGACGAGTTGGTTCCCCTCGGAGCTTGGTGTAAGGCTTGTCATCCTGGGTTGGAAATGGCTGCCAAGCTTGCACGCAACTCGTATTAGAGAGAGGGAAGGGTAGTGTCGCCCCTTCTAGGGTTTATTACGAGAGTAAAGTTATCACCACTCATAGAGCAGTCTAGAAGTAGATTAATGTGTATGAAAATAGCAGTAAACTTGCCTCAGAGGAGTGGATAGGGCATTTTAGAATAAAGAAGGTGGTAGAAATGCTGAAAGCGATATAAATAAGGATAAATAAACACTATACAATTTTTACTTTGCAGGAAAATAACCCTCAATATTTAAAATGATCTTCATTTCGAAGCACTAAGTTACTAAAAGAAATACCGACAGTCGATAACAATGATTAGCGTAGGCTAATGAATTCCAAGAGGATTAACCTACTTCTGTCTTCTCGAGTAGTAATAATGCTCCAAAATCGGTTTTTCTAGGCCCACAGATGGTTCAATCGCTGGCGATATGTCAGGACACCTATGTGGAAATCAAATGCACCACTTACGGAGTCGAAGAATCCATCGTGGTGCTGGACGCTCAACTTGTTATGCAGGTGGACACCAAGGTTTGCCCCAAGATCGTTGGTGAGAATAGGCTACTTATTTCAGTTACAAGTAGCAATGTCGGTGTTGAAGCACTTTTAAGCCAAAAATTAAAAACAATAATATTACAATATCAAAGGCTCTAAATATGCAAAACCCACTTTAGGTTACAAATTAAGTCACAATTCTTTCACGTTTAGAAAAGCAAACCCCGCAGCTATGAATCATTTAAACTATCAAAAGCATCGACTTAATGGTGTGCCTGTTTGCCCGGAGTGTCTTGAAAGACATATGTGTCAGTTATCTTGCAGCACCTACAGTATCTGTAGCGCGTAAAACTACATACGTTTAACCAGCCGTTTAGAGATTTACTAGAATTCACCTCTACAATTCAGCCACAATTAAGTAACTGATGCTTTGTGTGATCGAGGACGAATTAGTGTATTTGGCAGTTTAGCAGTGGCTATTGGGTACGTTTTATGACAAAAGGTATATTTATTAGAGTTTTAAGCCCATGGCAGGTGTTAAATTCTTAAGACGCCTTTTGATTATCCCTAAAATTTTAGTGATTTTAAAAGTCTTTGTCTGGGGATGCAATTCCTTCCTCAGAAAAATGCTGACTCCTTGCTGCATTTCCATGAATGGCAGTTTGACCAAATTCCCCTTTTCTTGTCTACTGACGATAACAGCAACTTTGTTTACCTAGTTTTACTTACACCTTCTAAATTGGCAAAAAAACATGATTTGATCAGGCGTCAGACAAATGGTGTCTGGCGTTGGTGACACCCCCTTTTAAAAACGTACTGTCGAGGTAGAAAGAAAAAGAGGCTAGAAATATTTACTCACAGCATACTCAAGATGAGGGTAAATTGAATGAAATTTGGAGGTTGATTATCACCGTAGTCCGCTCAGGAATTTAAAATCTCATTCAGAGAAAAAGGAATGTCCTTTAGTTGATTTTAGCATGCGGATAACTTAAAGTAGTTGTTTTAAAGCACGTCTTTCAGTGCCTTCACAGTGGCCTTCCGTGAAGAAAAACATATGATAATTACCTTCAAATAGTTGTATTCCTAAGTTTGTGTTTAATCAAACACAAAACATTAGTGGGTGTTTAATCTGCTACTAAAAGGGCAACCAGGTTGCCGAAATGTCAAAATTTTTCAAGCTTTTTTACGTTCTGAGTGATTCCCTCTTGGTGTTATAGTCAAAGTTTGGACTAATTTCAAAAGAGAATTGGAAGCCTTTCACATTTCAAATGTAACAGATGGAGACACTTCAGTCATTGTTGACAGAACTCGTCTTTTATAATAGACGTTTCTCAGAAAAGTTGTCAAAACCACATAAAGAGCATAAAAACTTGGTTACTTTGAAGACAATAAAAGAAATTTTTTATTTTCATTAATGTGGTCTTAAAAACTTTCAACTAACTGCTTGAGTGCTAGACCCATAGGATTTTGCATGACGTGAGCTTAAGCTCAAATATTCAACAGTTTTTCATAAAAGAGGAAACAGATGTAAAGCTCATTAAGCCACACAGTCTGTACAAGTGAATAATTGCTAAACAGAGCTCTATGAAGATGCACTAAAAAGTAAAATGGATGATTATCCTTGATTTACGGGGCAGCTACTAAATCCATCGCACTCTGTGCGCTTGTGATAGCGAATCAGATTAAACCACGTCTTCAACTTTACAAAGCAGAAGAGAATGTGCAGCAGAACTTAATTCCCTTTTAAAATTTAAACTGCCCATCTTTCGTGATTGCATTTAGAACCACCGAGTTCAGCAGGCGTGTGCCCCAGTCGGCTGGATGTGACAGCAGGACTGATGGGGATGTGCGGCAGGGAGCGGACCTGTTCTGTCATGCCCGACGCTAGTATGTTGCCACCAGGATATCCTTCTCTCTGTGCTCGTCGACACTTGGAACTCAGCTATGCTTGTGGTGAGTCCTATGTCCAACATTTTGTCCCTTTCCTATCCTAGTGTGTCAGAAACGGGGATCTAAAACTGCTTCCTGAGGGTAATCTCTCTACC